GGTGGTTGAACGCACCTTCCAGAATGCCATAGCCTCGGGAGGAAGTCCTTGCGGCTGGAGACTGAGCGTCCTGACTGTGGTATGTGTGCTGTGTGCACCTCCAGATGGCTGTAGCCTCAGGAGGCATTCCATGCAGCTGGAGGCTGAGCATACCTGACTGTGTGCACCTCTGGAATGCTGAAGCCTCTGGAGGAAGCCCACGAGGAGGGGACACTGAGCACAAGAGTGATGTGTGTGCACCTCGGAAGGAGCTCCATGTAGGTGGAGGCTGAGCGTCCTGATTGTGACGTGTGTGCACCTTCAGAATGCTGTGGACTCGGGAGGAAGTCCATGCACCTGGAGGCTGAGCACACCTGGCGTGTGTGCACCTCTGGCATCCTGTAATCTCAGGAAGAAGTCCATGAGGGTGGAGGCTGAGGGTCCTGTGGCGTGTGTGTGCCTCCAGAAGGCTGTAGCCTCGGGAGGCATTCCATGCAGCTGGAGGCTGAGCCTCCTGGCTCTGTACACCCCTGGAATGCTGCAGCCTCGGGAGGAAGTCCACATGGGGGAGACTGAGCACAAAACTGTGACATGTGTGCCCCTCCGTGATGCCACAGCCCCGGGAGGAAGTCTGCCGCAGATCAGTGAGAGAGGATGGGGTTGACAAGGGGTGGGCACAGCGCCACGGCTGGGGGACAGGCATCACACACTTCTGTCCAGCCTCTGTCTTGTGGGCAGACAGCCTGCTCACTCTGCTTGTAGGCATCTGCTATGTGGATCCCACTGCAGACTCTTGAAGCCTTGTTCTCGGGCCTCTAGGGCAGCCCTGAGTGGGCTGGGTGTCGTGGGTTATTGGGGGTCTCCTTGGAGCTGCTGCTGCCGCAGGTGGAAACAAGCCCAGGCTGCCCCAGACAGACGCCTCTCTGGGCGAGGGCTCCTTCCTGCCCTGCCAGGGCACTGACTCGTTCTCGAAACCTCCTTGGCTCCTCACTGGCAGGCACCAGGGACACAGCTGCCTGGGTGGCTGATGCAGAAAGCCAAAGGACGTGCGGGGTTGCTCGATAACTTTTCACTCCGCAGGATGTTTTGGGGAGACAACAGAAGGAGGATACCTGCTTCTATAAGGAACTCAAAACCCATTTCGGTAACTTCATGCCCACTCACTACGGCTTGTGAGTGCCCTGGTGACCAGGAGGGTCACTCACTGATGCTTGTTCTTTCCCTCTGATCTGTCACTTGCCATTGAAGAGGGTTGCCTCTTCCTTGTGGAGTTGCTCTGCTTCTCTGGTCGTCTCTCTCCTCTGGTCATTGCTGTCCTCTGGCCATCTGTCTCCTCTGGTCATCTCTCTGGTCCAGTCGTTGCTGTCCTCTGTTCATCTCTCTCCTCTGGTTGTCTCTCTCCTCTGGTCATCTCTTTCCTCTGGTCATTACTGTCCTCTGGTCATCGCTGTCCTCTGGTCATTTCTCTCCTCTGGTCATTGCTGTCCTCTGGTCATCACTCTCCTCTGGTCATCTCTCTCCTCTGGTCATCTCTCTGGTCCAGCCATCAGTCTTCTCTGGTCATCACTGTCCTCTGGTCATTTCTCTCCTCTGGTCATCTCTCTCCTGTGGTCATTGCTGTTCTCTGGTCATTGCTGTTTCCTGGTCATCTCTCTCCTCTGTTCATCTCTCTGGTCCAGTCATCAGTCTTTTCTGGTCATCACTGTCCTCTGGTCATTTCTCTCCTCTGGTCATCTCTCTCCTGTGGTCATTGCTGTCCTCTGGTCATCTCTTTCTTCTGGTCATCGCTGTCCTCTGGTTGTCTCTCTTCTCTGGCCATCTCTCTGGTTCAGTCATCGCTGTCCTCTGGTCATCTCTTTCCTCTGGTCATCTCTCTCCTTCTGGTCACGGCCTTCCTCTGTCTTCCTGACTGAGTGCCATCATTGCTGAGGCCCAGAACACGCACGGTGGTCATAGTTGCCATCTGGGCTCAGTGCCCTGAAGGAATGACAGAGAAGGAGCAGGAGGAAGGGCATTCTTTGCCACCAGGAGGATGGTCAAGTAGCTGCTGACCAAAGGAGAGGGTGGGAGTGAAGGACTCTGCAGGCAAAGGGAACGACCCCATCCCAAAGCCTCTGAGATGATGATCGCCTGGCGTGGGCCGTGAATCTTCCGCTCAGCTGCAGATTTCAACTGCTTATTACCAAACGGTAACGTGGGCGGCTTGGTGCTGTGAGGCAGCCGTGGTGCTAAGATAGGCAACTCGGTGCCCGTGAGGCAGCCATTATGGTGGGAAGCTGGGTGGAAGAGAGCAGACCAGCTGATGTGGGAGGCCCTCTAGGTTGGGGTGCTCTGCATGGTGGGGGGTTTTCACAGGGTTGTGACAGGCTCTGATCTGCATCGTTGGAAGAGCACGCTGGCATACTCCATGATTCTCTTTCTAAAGGATACAAAAAGGCAAACTAGTCTGTGCTATTAGACGTCAAGAGACTCATCGTCCTGGAAGTGGAGGTGTGTGGGCACTGGCAGCGGCTTTAGGGGGCTTCTGGGAAACTGCTGATGACCTATGTCTTGATCTGGGGACCCCGAGTGTGACATTTTTCAAGCTGCACCCCTATGGTTTATGCATTTTATGTGAATGTTATACGTCAGGGCATCAATGTTTTCTTTTCTTTTTTTTTTTTGAGTTGGAGTCTCACTCTGTCGCCCAGACTGGAGTGCAGTGGCCGCTCCCGGCCACCGCAGCCTCGACCTGCTGGGCTCCGGAGATCCTTCCGCCTCAGCCTTCCGAGTAGCCGGAATTACAGGCGCACGCTACCACACCCGGCTGATTTTTTGATTTATTGTAGAGATGAGGTCTCGCTGCCGCGGGTTCAGGCAATCCACTCACCTCAGCCTCTCAAAGGTGCGGGATGACAGGCTGAGCCACCGAGCCCGGCATCAGTGTTTTCTTAAATGATTGCTCTGGCTCTTGGTTAAAGAATAGATTGGGAAGGAGAGAAGAGTAGACAAAGGAAACGGGCAGGAAGTTGTGACAGTGGGTTGGAGGAGAGCTGATGGTGACATGGACTACGGGTGGCCGAGGAGGCAGAGGACACGGAGTGACTTGCGGCTTGGCTTGGAGGTAGACGCCCCAAGTCGAGAACTGGAACGGGGAGAAGATGAGGTGGGCCACCGTCACGGTTGACGGGGTGGGTTTGAGGGATTGACAGAAAGTTGGAGCTGAAATGTACGGGAGGCGTTTGCTCTGAGGTCTGGGGCCAAGGAGGGGACTTCAGCCTGCAGCTGGGGACTCCACCGAGGTTGAACGAGCGGGCTCCTGGGGAAAGCGCGTGGAGAGACGGAACCGGGCTCCCCCATGGGTATCAAGGAAGGGGTGGTCAGCGCTAGAGCTGGAACTCAGGGTTGGTGGGCCGCATCACAGATGGCAAGGGGAAGTCGGGCGAGTGGCCGTTGGACAGCCTGCTGGAGGTGGCAGCTGGGTGACTGGGAGTCTCAGTGAAAACTATTTCAGGGGCACTGCTTTCACCTGGGCAGTGTGGCGGAGCAGAAGGATGGCGCCACCTGTTCTCAGCCACCCTGTGCCTGAGTTTCCTCATCTATAAGAAGCCATCACATGCACTTCTCAGGGCTGGCATGAGGATGAACTTTATTCAGCAAATATTCATTGAACATTTATTACATACTCGATGGCCAGCCAGATGCAGAGGATATCGAGTGATTGAGACTGACAAGTGGGAGACAGAAATACGTCATTAACTAAACAAGATGATGCCAAGGACACAAGAGGCCTCCCGGGGCTACCCCGCGGCCACCACCCAGCCTTGTTGAGCTGTGGGGTCCCACCCTTCCTGGCCGGCTCCCTCGGGGTCCGCTCCTAAGGTCCTGGGCTCTTCGGATGCCAGGTCCCCAGCCCCCACTTTCTCACTCTGAGAAACTGGCTTCCCTTTCCTTGAAGGCAGGAAGGGAAGGGCTTCATTTTCAAACCCTTCCAGGATGTGAGAAAAAATATTGACATCCCATCTTATTATTAGAACAAAGAATAGGAAGACTATAAAATAACCAGGACTTCATATTAGTGTGGTCTGAATGTCCCCCTCCTGCTGTAAAGGGATTCCAGGTGGGCTCCCTAGCGAGGCCTTGTTTCAACCCAAGAAATGTCTCCTGCCAACTCCTCAGAAAGACAGGATGGCACTTGTTCTCACAAGGAAAGTTTTTCTGGCTTAAAAAAAAGAGAAATTAATCGGGGAATTTCTGAAGAAGAATTTGGGCACATATTTACATAAACGTCAGTGATAATTTTATTTCAAGTTGTTTATTTTTCTGGGAAACACTGGGCACCACGCTTCTCGCTGATCTGGCAAATTTGTCTAAATCTCGCGGGCTTGTGCTTCCTCCCTTCCAGAATGTTCTTTTCAACCATGACTTCTGAGCCCAGATCCCAGCTCCCGTTCTCTGGCCGTCTCTCACCCTGGCTCCACCCTTTCTCCCACAGATCTCCCCAGTGTGCCCAGCCCTCGTCTTCTCCTTCCTACTTGCCAAACTTCAGACAGGGGACCCCTCGGAGGGAAACAAAACAGCCACAGTGCAGAGCACTTGGGGTGATGGGTGTTATCAGGAGCTGGCCAGCTTCTCTGCTCCCCTCTTGCGTGCCTGTCTTCCTTCAGCAAGGACGCTGCAATGGACATCGGCCATGTTTCTTTCTCAGCTTGTTCTAGCTTTGTATTTTCAGTGGCCCCCAGAACCCTGTCTGATCAAAGGCCCTTTTAAGCTCATAACCACACAAAATACAAAAATCCAGAATAACAACAGACACCACAAAATTATGCAGTGGAGACTTCCATTGCCCATTGTAATTGCATCTTTGATGGTGACCCTCAAGTGAAATGCTTGTCTAAGGTGAGGATACTAAGCGAAAAAGTGGTGGAGAAACCCTGGTCAAGTCCGAGTCGGTCAGGGCTTGGCTAGGAGAGGCCTTGACCAGGGTCCCCTCAGGCCATGTGAAAGACAGGAAAAGCATCCACCTCGGACTTTGCTTCTCCATGCCTGTTGGGTTTCCTGTGGCTTCCTGGCCTCCACTGAGGCCAGACTTGCCAGCCCTGCTAGAGGTGGTTTTTGTGTTCTCTGTGGACAGTAGAGAGTGGCACCGGAGCGCTGGAGAGGAGGAAGAGGAAGAGTTAACACTGGGCAGTGAGGGATCTGCCAGGGGCCTGGTTCCACCGGCCCCCTGCAGCCTCCTCTCCCAGGGAGGGCCTCAGGCCCATCTCTTCAACCTGGTTGCTTTCCTCGTAAGGAACAAGGAAGCTGTGATGGAAATCTCTTTGTTTCTTTTTAGATTGTTCTGAGTTTTATACCTCCACAGGACCGTAGGACCCTGTCTTACCCAAGACTTTTTCTGGTCCATAATAATACTAAAGATACCTTTTATCATCGCTGCTGTGAATACCACTGGCTCTGACCCTAAGCTGTCTATTTTAAATGTCTGAACTTTATCTCGTGCAGGCATTCTTCCTGCATGGGGATATATTTGATTTCCTGAATCACTTCTTGAAAGAGACATTCCCCTTTGGGGCATTAGGCCCTGGTTTGGATCCAAATCACCCCCTGCAGAAGGCACTGGAGGGTGAGCAGGCCTACTGGCTGACTGAGTCGGACTTGACCAGGATTTCTTGGCCATTTTTTATCTTAGCACCCTCGCCTTAGACAAGAACACTTCCTCCAGCTCCAGGGCCTCTCAGGTGGACCTCCTGAGACGACCCATAGCCCCTCCTTCCACTCGGAAGCCTGCCTCTCTGACGACATTGGAAAATGGTGAGGCGTACCCCTTCTGGGTTTGCTTTTTTACCCCCATGCACCAGGGCTGGCTGAACCCAGGCCTCACCTTCCAGGTCTTACCCACCGGTGAACCACCAACCAGGACTGAGATGAGGCATGAACATGGACAGAAGAGACGTGTCAGTGGGGATGGGCAGCCATCTGGGCCAGTGCCACTCTCTGGCTTTCTCCTGTTGGAGATACACTGACCCCTTGGGAACACTGTAGCCAGTAAATGAGGGATCAGGACACATAAATGTCGTTAAGGGAGAGGCAGGACCTGGTACCCTTTTTGATTTGACATACTAGTCCACTGACAAGTGTGTACTTCTTGGAACCTTTTTTTCCTCCCATTGAAAAAGTGGAGTCAGGCTGGGTTTGGTGGCTCACGCCTGTAATCCCAGCATTTTGGGAGGCTGAAGCAGGAGGATTGCTTGAGCCCAGGAGTTCAAGACCAGCCTGGGTAACATAGTGAGACAAAAAAAAAATCAGCTGGGTGTAGTGACACACACCTGTAGTCCCAGCTACTCAGAAGGCTGAGGCAAGAGGATTGCCTGAGTCCAGGAGGTCGAGGCTGTGTTGAGTCTTGAATGCGCCACTGCCCTCTAGCCTGGGCAACAGAGTGAGACTCCAACTCAAAAAAAAAAAAAAAGAAAAAGAAAAAGGGGGG